TCTGGTATAGTATCATTAAAAAAGCTGTCAAAGAAAGTTCGATGGAGAGTCTTATCAATACCACGTTGTTTCACAAGTCATCAAATATTTCTCTTCCTCGAAATATTTTAGTCGAATAACCATCGTTCACTGACATCAGGATTGCGTAGATGAACGGCATATCTATAACGGGAAACTTCATAATTGCAAGAGCTCCATGAACAACTAATGGAATCTATGACTCATAATATTCAAACCCAAACTGCATAGTTCCGTGACGTCCTGAAATATTTCAAACCATCTCTTTGAAGCTCTTCTGGTCTAGTGAATGGAAGTTAAGATCACAGATTTGTTCCGGCATTACGGCAAAAATATGTAAGTAACTGGTCTAAGAGCAAATCCTTCTAGTTTCCCTCGTTTAGTGATTTCATATCAAAGTACGTTCACCTAATAGTCAGTTTTTGGAGATCAAGCGAACGACACAATATCAACTGTGGACATAAGCATATCCATCTATTACAATTTGTGTGCCTGTAAACAGTAGTTGTGGGAAAGTCTAAAGCACATACTTCTGATAGATTTTTAATGTGTTTCACGTTTACTCCATCACCCAAGCATTCGTTTTGTGATGGACCAAAAATCTATTAGTATTAAAACGATGATAGATTTATTTTTAAAGAAGTTGAAAGTAGCAATTGACACCCGAATATACATTAACACTCAAAAATAATTTTGGATGTCGCTCAAATTGTTTACAAGATGCGTGTTTCCATTTTTTCGAGCTTGTAATCCAGAATTATAAGAAACTAACTGATACTTCCTAATTAAGATGCATATACATAATCCAAACGATATATACCAAGAATTATCGAATGCTGTGATGATCTTTATGATCTGTGAACGCATTTGTCAGTTAGAGATCTATTAGAGATCTATTCCCTCTTTAGCTGATTAAGTGAAGACAAAGAGTGCTCGAGTAGCAGTGTGATCGAAGATACGGTTAAATGTTAACAACAATTTTGCAGTCAATAACAGTGATGGTACAAATGAAATGGAGTGACGAAAAATATGAAAAGTACCAAAATTTGTCTTTGTAAAAGACCCCCACAAACTAATTGAAATGGAAAACTACTGTTTAAGCGACGCTTATATACAACGCATGAAAACAACGTGACGAAATGCATTTACGGAAACATGCCTAACGGCTCAAAATTAATGAACGACAAATCACTTAAGAACTTTGATTTTACTTCATTTAGCCCTCAATTTTACTTCCGATATCACCTTTACGCATGGTTCCTGAAACGGATAAACAATCCCATAACCAAAGTATGCAAGATTAGTACCCTGGTCTTATTTTCATCAGTTGGTGGTTCGTTTTTCAAATTCATGGCTACACTTCCAGAGGTTGAAGTCATAAACATTTACAGTTTTAGCACCACCAAAATCAAGATATTTTAAGAAGAAACCTCACCACCTTACATTTGGTTAATGGAGTTGAGATATATATCTCAGTCTGTTTCTAAGTCATCACTCGTTTTGATTCATAATTTCCCACAAGTTACTTATGACTAGAAATTTTGAAATTTCCCTTTCCAATTCCTACTTATCGACAAAACTTTCCATTATGTTATCCAATTTTCGGCGGAGCATCTATGGTTATCTAAAGAATATACCTATATTTATATTTTCTTGGTATGAGTATAAGGAAAATGGAAAAATGTTTAAACTTTGCCAAATTATGTCGTTTCTAAAATTATTCAGCTATTGAAAAATGACCATAAAATATCTATTTGGCTTTCAAGTACTGTGAGGGTTTTTATAATGACTGAGTGGGACAACCACATACTTTTAAAATTCTCCGTCATATTTTCTATACCAAATGTGTTATGGCATGTTTTAGGGCTGTGTTCGACGCTTGGATCGTAATTTGAGAGGGCGGGATAACTTAAAGATCATGTTTAAGCGGACTAGGTTAATGAGCATTCTCATTTTCACATATGAGACACATAAGATGAACAGTCACATAATTCCACTTATGCCACTGAAATTTGAGGTATGCAGAGTTTCAATAACCATTACGTTGTTCGAAACCGATCTCATAAGCCATTGAGGAAATAATTTTCAGGAGTAAGCCCATGAATTCCAATCGCTTGCTGGCCACACGTATTTTACTGTGTTGACGAGCCCATCAGAGTGGATTCACGTAAGTTTCCAGTAGATCTTCAAAACAAATAGTTTCTTACATTTGAAAATCTGATCCCGAAATAGTTTTGGTGTAAAAAATAAGTGAGGGCCCATGATCAACTTTTGGAGTCGTTTTGATTGTAGAATCCAGGCTGCACCACCCTAACAATCCTCAAAAACTTGATTTGACTGCATCTCCCTTGTTTACTTTTGTTCTTAGCAATCCTATACCTTTGAAATGATAATGACGTACTGGAGGAAGGTGTGTGAAAAGTGACTGTTAAAGTATTTGAGCTGAAGGGATATTCATACCCTATTCAGCTAAAAGCACTCAAGTAGCATTTTGTGCTGTATACAAAAACAAGAAGGAATTTGCCAATCAAAAATAATGCTCATGACTCGCACACGCTGTAGAATCCTTTTTGAATGTTTTGTTTTTTGGAAAATCCCTCCATGTTTAAATATTTTTGTTATGACATGACGGACTTTTTCTGTTGACATTTTGGTATTTTATTTTGATTCCAATTTAAGATTTTATCATTGTATATTGTTATTATTTCTATATTTTGTACTTATATTGAAGTTTTTTATGTTTGCTTCTGAACTGTACATATGTTGTTTAAATTTGATATAATATGGCTACCGCCACATTTTTGGATTTGACACCGTGCGGTACAGGAGTTCACCCAATCTTCGGAACCTCGATACTCATTCAGAGTAATTTTGAATTGCAAGGCGTAAAATTTGTTAGGTACAGTTTGTATTTCCATTCATTCTCTATTAATAGACCATTTTCTCCTAGAATTATTGTGTTTTTATATTTTAAATCGGAAAGTGCGTCCGAATTGAACTGCTACGGTAGAAAATCCAATTACACACACTACAAGATCGTTTGCGAATATGATTCAAACGCTGCACACCATCTAAGTATTTGTGTTTAGATACGTTGTACAAATGTAGTTATAAGACCGTTTGTAACAAGAGCCGCCAACCGTCTAAATGTCTCATCAAAGCTGTCCGGAGGAGAAATACGTTAATTTTCTAATGAACATAATTAACTCCTAGTGACCAGTGATGACGGTTGATCTTTCGCCCTCTTTAGACTCTAGATTACTGATTAAATAAAAGACTAACTTCACAGTTAACTAAAATATTTTCCCAACTTCATGTCAGGCACTACAAACCGTTGTCAGTCCGAGCAACTGCCAGGGTATCAAAAGGCTTACAATACAGAAGGTGGAGTGGCTATATATATTTACAGACACTTAAAAGTAGAAAGGGTAAACGGCACCCAACTAAGCGAGGTGACAGAATTATGTTAGTGGTGTTTCAACACAAACGACACAAAATACTTGATTGGAGGGATTTACTGGCCTTCCTCAGATATTTAGATACATAAAGATAAACTGAGGTAATACTGCAGCTGCCACGCCGGTTCTATCAAATAATATTAGCTGAAGATTTCAACTCTCCATCTCGAAATCTCAGCGAACAGGGTACAATTCCAAAAAGGTCAGTTTCAAAGGCGACTTTGCGCAGCGACTGAAGGTTCCAAACTGACCGAGCATGTATGCAGCGCTACTAGACGACAAAGGATGGAAAATCCTCAAACTTGTACTATTTGTTAACAAATGATCTGTTTCTGGTCGACGGTGTTCATGTACATACACCCGTATGAAGTAGTGGCCATGGCGCAGTCATGCTTAACATGTCGGAAGTTTCACAGGGGACCATCTTAGGTTCATTCCTCTTTCTGATCTTTACAAATGACCTGTTAAATAAAATTAGTTCAATGACATTGATCTACTAAGACTATAAATATAACTGGAGGTCAATTGGTAGCAAAGAGGATTTACCTGAGCTACAAAAGGCCTTACATTAGTTGATGAATGGACAGTGACAAGCGGGCTAAAACTAAACCAGTTGAAATGTCATGTCATGTAGATTCTGCCCAATGTTAAACAAAGGACTTACACCCTAGATAGTAGTTCGCTACCTAATATCTCCTCGGAGCGCCATCTCGGTTTATTAACCACAGATAGCCTAGACACCAGCGCAGGCTCACGCAACTTTTCACTCTTTCCCAAGAAAAATTGGAGCGGTCTAGCCCAAATTATTCTCAACATTTTTTAAAACGTACGCACATCCATATTTGAAGTTCACAAAGTCATCGCACCCCCTCTCCTTAAAAGAGACATAAATCTCCTGGATCGAGTGCAGAGACGAAAAAGGAAATGGATGATAATTTTGAAGAACAAACCTAACGAAGATAGACTCCAGCACTTGGAATCACTGTCTCAGATTTACGGGAGAACCAGGTGTAATCTCAAAAGGCGTACAACATATCAAGCACGTCAAATCACCTCAAAACGAGCATCATTTGAAGCATCACAACGACGCACCTCGAGGTAATCCTCGAAAATTCGCTCGTCAAAAAGTGAACAACCAGGTTCGTGAACACCTTTTCTCATCGAGAATTGCTGCAACTCAGAGTTCTCGCCCAGCTGAGGTGACTACATCCCCCTCAGTGCACAACTTTAAAAAGAGACTTGACAAACACTCACTCACATACAGATTATCAATTTCCTCGTAGACCAGCTGTTCCTGATGCATATCTTGAGACTTGCTAGTTGTCATCATTGCCATCTAAGAATAGTAAGTTAATCTATTTCGCTAATTGTCTATGTATCCTCCCCCTTGCTTACACTTCAGTCCTCTCTCACAATCTTCACAACCAGTTAATAATAAACAAGAATTGGACGCTAAGAAATCATTTTGTTTAAACTAACTCGTGAAAAAGATATTGGACATATATTGGATATTGGTTGTTTACATTTTGACCCGGTGTTTTAAAATGTCAAAATCAGTTTGGGAAATCGCAATAGAGCAGAATACGAATAAGCCAGGTATTTATCCATATTTTACGCTATATAATAATACAAAAGCACAAAAGGCCACAGAAACCACCATAATTTTCGCCGGGAACAAAGGATCAGTGAGAACAATTAATTAGCATATTTGTTCACGTTTTCATCCTTCTCCAGGGGAAAAGTACTATCATTAGCCGATTTCTTGAAAAAGATGAAACCCCTAAACCTACTCTGGCACTTGATTATACATATGGACGGAAAAATGCTGGAAATTATCATGTTAGGTTCTTACAAACGTAATTGTGATTCAATAGACTAAAGCTGTGTCGCATATATGGGAGCTAGGAGGTGGTGTACAACTTTCAGATTTAATCGGTGTCGTAATGACAGCCAACAACATTTTGTTTGTTGCTTTTAAATAACCTGATACCCCCTTCTGTCACTTTAAGGAATCTTCACCTCATTTTAGTCATCGATCTATCCAAACCAGAGGAACTTTGGAGTACTGTGGATACTCTGCTGAAATCAGCTTCCGCTCGTGTAGATCAAATGCTAAACCGTCTTCATCAGAAAAACATGACGCGAATCCAAAATATTCTTAGTGAAAATGCGAGAAAGAGAATTCCATCAAAACATCCTGACGTAGAATTATTGAATCCTTTTCCTTTGCCTCTTACATTCTTGGGGACAAAACATGACCTTTTATTGGTAAATAAAAACTTCATATTGAAACTTCCAGACTCGAAACGTCGACCAGCAGAACCTTATTTGCAAAACAATTCGCTTTCTCAGTCACTATTATGGAGCGTCTATTTATGTACGTAAGCTCAGTATTCTTTAATGTTCTGCAGTTTTCCTCTGCCAAAGAAGATGCACTATTTAAAAGGACAAGAGCCATTCTAAATCACATCGCTTTCGGTGGCAAAGACTTATCTAACGTACAAATGGAAACAGAGAAACCATTGGCAATTCCAGTTGGTGCAGACTCATTCTCAAATATTGGTAATCATTATTTGGTCAACTTTGTAGTTTTCCGATAACTAAACGCCCGTGGTAATTTTTTTCGGTGTACAAACCAAATGAACAATTATTATAGGATATGAAATACTAAGAATTATCTTCACTTTATATAAAATGTTTGTGATACAGGTAGAATAAATTCATACTAAAAACCTCTTAGACATTATTATATGCAGGCAATACACGTTCATCTACCTAAAACATTTTAGCTAAACAGTATGATTAAGTTTTCAGAGGTGAGATTTTAGTTTCTAAAGGTTTATGATAACTCTTGAAGTTTCCAGTACTGTATATGTTCAGTTCCATTCCTAAAATACCCAACGGAACCCTTGTGGAACCTCTCAAAATCACTTAGTTCAATTCGTAAGTCGATTTGAAGTAATTCTGAATTATCTTGTTGCTAATGGTCCCACTTAAATTTGATCATTCTTAGCTGGAATATGTTCATCATATATTCATCATAACTACCTCCTTGCAGTCATTATTTCACCAATTAACATAATCTGGCCGTGGCTGGCAGCAAACTAATCAAATTTCACTCAAAATATCAACAACAAAATAAACCAAACTATGCTAAAGTGGACTAAAACTTACACTCATTACGCAAATAAACACCTATCTGGGTTCAGTAGCTAAGTTGACAACGTGATGGAGTTTAAGGAAGGATTTTGTTTGTTTGTGACCACTTTGGTCTCGCGCACTGTTACGGGTATGAGGACGGATGACACTTCCTGGCTTCCTACATCGTGGAAGGGCGTTTCTTGAGGGACCTGAAAAGGAAGGTAGATTAGTGTTGGTCTTAGGGACCTGAGAGTGTGACCGCAGAGCCCTGGGGACAACTGCTTGAGGCCAGTCACGCACGGCCTTTCTATGAGAGTTTTTTTGAGTGTTAGCTCCATTCTTAAAACCCCTTAGGGGGCACCCTTACCGCCGGAGATGGAAATCCGTGAGGTAGGGTGAGGTGTGACATTTTTAGGGTCGACCTATTCTAACCCTTCCTTCCTTGTGAGAAGGCAGCATCTCTGCAGATGCTGGTTGTCCGTGTGAAACACCTTATGCCTGTCACACCCCTCTGCAGTCAGCAGTACGACTTCGCCCTCAGACCTTGAGTAGCTGCTTTCAGTCTTGTCTTTCTCCAATCGACCTGCCTGGCATGGTAGAACATTCAGAAACATATGTTCCAGCCAATATAGCTTGATTGAGTCATCACGATATAGGCAAGCCCGACCACCACGTCAATGTAGCAGCTACGGCCGGGAGTGTAAGGAACCAGGTACTGGATTTAAGTCCCAGTGTGAACATCAACTCTGAAATGCAGGTACATTCATTTCATGACTCCTAATCATGCCACAGTCCATCTATGTACATTTAGTTTAAGGTTTATTGAATTAGCTCAACCAATTACAACACACACGGTTTTCATATCATCTTCCACGATCAGACTGTTCCTGAATTAATAAAAACACTTGTGGTTAACTCTTATAAAAAAACTGTTTGTCACAACAATATGGTTACCACGATTGAACAAATTTTCCATGTAAAGTATCATTCAGATCACCACACTAAACTGAATATATCCCTAAAAAATGGCTGTCTAAATTAATATCTTTGTTATATTGCTTTTTCTAATAAAACATCACTATTTTTACCTTCACCAAACACTGTAATTTATTTTAGCCCGTAATATCCAGTTTGTGACGAACCTCAAGAACGAAAAGCTCTTTTAGAATACCTGTGTCTCAGTAAGCATATGACAGGTCTCAACCACTGATTGTCCCAATCTATAAGAAAGGACAAAAGTCCTCTTGTGACAATCACAGGGGAATAATTTTAAAATATTGGCCTCAATAATACTCCAACGCTTAACGAAAGCTCGTTAAGAGCAGACTAGAGAAAACCAGGCTGGTTTTAGACCTGGACGTGGATGTATGGACCACATCTTCACACTACAACAGGTCCAGGAACACAGGCCCACATTTAGGCGTCCAACAATAGTAGTCTTTCTCGACCTTAAAGAGGAATTCGACTCTGTTGATCTTGAGGTTCTGTGGCAGTGTCTGCCATTAAAAGGTGTACCAAAGGAGAACATTAACTTTATACTAGTTCTCTACTCGAGCACTACAGACCGAGTGGGAGTGGAATTCTTTGCTTCAAGTGGTGTCCGTCAGGACTGTCTACTCTCCCCATTATTGTTTAACTTTGTCGTAGATATACTTTTAGAGTTAACATTATTGTCGTATGACTCTTCAGGAGTGGACCTTCTACCAGGAGACACGCTTGCTGTCTTAGAACATGCTGATAACTTGTCCTATTCGGTGAAGACGCTGACGAAATGCAGAGTCTTCTGACTATCCTAAGCAACAATGCAAGCATGTTTGGGATGCAGTTCTCCCCCTCGAAATGCAAAATGATGCTTCAAGACTGGGTTGCATCGGCACCTGAACTAGTGATAGGGAGTGAAGTAGACGAGCGAGTAGACCGCTTCACTTATCTTGGGAGTCTCATCAGTGCCGATGGCCTGGTGACTGACGAAATCTCAGCTCGGATACAGAAGGCTCGATTGGCTTTTGCCAACCTGCGTCACTTATGGCGTAGGCGTGATATCCATTCTCTAATCAAAGGACGAGTGTACTGTGCAGCAGTCCGCTCCGTTCTCCTATATGGCTGTGAAACATGGCCAGTGAGAGTAGAAGATATTCGTAGGTTACTGGTTTTCGATCATAGGTGTCTTCGAAGCATTGCTCGTATATCGTGGGACAACCGAGTAAGCAATGTTATAGTTAGGAAACGAGTATTAGTTAAGCATGGCAGATCAATAGATAAAGTGGTGAAACTTCATCAGTTGAGGTGGTTGGGACATGTGTTACACACGCCTAACCACCGACTGCCTCGACAAGTTATGTTTTGTGGTGTAGGAGTATGTTGGAAGAAAGCTGCCAGATCAGAATGTGGCAGAAATCCATGAAGTCACTGACAAGTGGACTGAGTCATGTGACCGATGGTTAGAGACCTTGAATGACATGGCTCAAAATCGTTTGCAATGGTACCGGTGCATCCACTCTTTGTTTTCCCTTAAATGCTAACCTTCTGAATTCCTCATCATCTCTATCTTTCTATATCTAACTTTATCTCACTTAATTAGACCCTAATCTTCTCTATTATTGCTAATACTTCTACTATCTCTACCACTATTGGATTTGAACTAACAGTCGCATCCCTGTGCTGATGCGGTTTGGCAACCCTAACTGATGTGCTTGCGTACGAACTTCTGTATTGTATCTGTCTGTTTGTCTGAACGTTTTTGACACCATAACTTGTTTTAATCCACATCATGTGGTACTCACTCGCCTGTATTTAGCGATTACCTTTTTTACTCAATATAATAACAGACAACTCATTGAAGATTATTAATTATTAATTATCATTGACAGTTTGAGAATTCTGATAAATCGATGAAGAAACATTTACCCGCATATCTTATTTCATAATATCAAATACTATGTCAGTTTTTTCGAGCTTTCGATCATCACAATCATAGAGGAATCAGTTTACTTAATCTAGTGTCTAAGATATTAACTTCGCTAATATTTCGATGCCTATATACCACTCGTGAATTTCAGACTCCAGAAAACAAGAGCAGTTCCGGATCTGGACGTGGATGTACAAACCACCTATTCACATTCAGCAGGTTCTAGGGCATAGACATACATTTTGACGTCCGACAACTTTTGTGTTCCTGAACATTAAGGCATTGTGTTGGCTCTGTTGATCAAGAAGTTCTGTGGCAGCGTCTTTCATTGAAAGGAGTATTAAAGAAGTATATTAACCTTTTATAGGCTCTCTACTTGGACACTACTATTCCAGTCAGAGCTTACGACAAACTATCATCAAAATTTATTTCTTTAAGTGATGTTCGTCAGGGTTGTTTATTTTCTCTGTTCTTATTTAACTTTGTCATTGACATGATGTTAGAGATAAATCTTTCGTCATCTACCAGGACACCCACTCATTGACTTGAAAAATTCACAGATGATATTAATCTGTTTCGTGAAGACAAACTTTTGAGCCTTCTAACTACCTCAAGAAACGATGCAATTATCTCCCTTGAAATACAAAATGTTGCTTCAAAACTGACCAATGTCGGTGTCTAACTTAATGATAAGGAATGCAGTAGTTGAGCCAGTTGACCGCTTCACTTATCGTAGAAGTCTTACTATTCTTAATGTCTTGATGTCTGAAAGAATCTTGTCACAGATTCAAAAACCTCAGTTGGTTTTTGTCAACTGACGTAGGTAAAATATCAGTCTACCAATTAAAAGTCGAATTTACCGTATAGCCGTTCGTTCGGCTTTACTTTATGACTATGAAACATGACCAGGTCAGAAGATATTTTTAGGTTACTAGAATTCGATTACAAGTGTCTCCTAATCGACTTCCATGTGTTATATAGGACCACTGAGTTATCAATGCCTGGATTAAGAACATGACACTCAGTAAAGATCACAAACCGATCGATAAGGTAGTGAAGCTTCATCAACTGATGTGATTGGGACATTAGTCAAGTATGCTAAATCACCTCTTACATGGACATATGTTATTTTCTGATGTAGAAGTAGACTTGTGGAAATCTAAAGGCTGTCAAATCAAAACATGATATCAGTCTATATAGCCCCTAACAACTGAATGGGTGTCCATATAGACTACTTGATCAGTGTCTACGTGCTCATTGTAACTGGTAGTAAGAGACTTTCAATGACATGGTCTAAAATCATTCTCAATAGAAGAGATACATAACTTTCCGAAGTTATGCTTTCTTGAATTGTATCTTTTGATGCCCAATCCTTTTAATGATCACTAATAGCGTTACCACCTGTGTAATACTCTGAGATTTGTGCCCTGATGATTTGATTTCACTTTGTTAATTGAGTGTAGCAACTTTCAGTCAGTCAGATGCAGCGTAGAACTTCGTACGTGAGTACATCAGTTCATGTTGCCATACCACATCAACACAGAGATGTAATTGCCAATTCAAATCCAATAGTAGAAGAGATAGTAAAGGTATTAGAAGTAATCGGAGAGGTTGGAATTAGAAGATATTATTCAAGAAGCATGATTCTGTGAGAAAAGTTTAGAAAGACAAAACTAGAGGTGTTGAAGAATCCAAAAGATTAGGATTTGAGAGAGCACAACGAATGGATGCACCGGCGCCATTGCAAACGATTTTGAGCCATGTCATTCAAGGTGTCTAACCATCGATTATTATCACCTCGTGGACTCCAACCAGGTAGTCGATAATTACCGACATGGCTAAGTCCACTCGTCAGTGACTTCATGGATTTGTGCCATGTTTAGGTTTGGCCGCCTCTAACTTTCTTCCAACCTATTCCTACACTACAAAACAAAGCTCTTCGAGGCAGTCGGTGGTTATGCATACGCAACACATGTCCCAACCACCTCAACTGATGAAGTTTCAGCACTTCATCTATTGATCTGCCATTCTTACCTAGCACCCGATTCCTAATAACAGCGTTGCTCACTCGGTTGTCCCACGATATACGAGCAATGCTTCGAAGACACCTGTGATCAAAAAAACTTTAAGAATTGGCGTACATACATGTTATACTATATGTTTGCCTAACTGACTGATACTCCGAAAACTAATAAAGATTTCACTCCAGTTTACTTTCTTACGCCTGTTACCCCCAATGTAGCGTAGGCCACCGATCAGTATTGTCCAACCTACTCTGTCCATCCTGGGCCTTCTCTTTTCCTTTGACCCTGATCGTTCTAAGTGAGCGCTTGTCTTGTGACACAGTTAATGCTTTCCGCAATGTATGTATCCTATCTACTTCTACCGCTTCTTCCTGATCTCCTCCCCCATTTGAGGGATCTGGTTTGTTCTCTCCCACAGTAGGTTGTCGCTGATTACACTCCAGTTTACAGATACATATTTATGTTTAGTTTATGCAAGTTGACAAATAATCACAAGAAAATTAAGTGAACACTTTTTGAAATAATAAAATTATTAGATTACTTCATAATGAACGTTTTGAATAGAAATACCATGTTGTAATTTGTCCTTTCATCTTAACTGATTCAGGCAGTCAGTCAAACAACAACATAGAACTTTGTACGAACGTACATCAGTTCAAGCACAGGAATGCACTTGTCACTTCAAATCCCATAGTATTAGAGGTAGTAGAAGTGTAGTGAACGAGAACACAGGTGGGGCAACCGGATTGTATTTAACGACAATTACAGAGTTACTCAGTAAAATAGGAAAACCATATCGTAAATCGTTAATTTGCAAAATATCAGTCCATCATATCGAACTGAACTGTTCCTGTTGCAAAACATCAATCCATTGCCTGACATTTCACTATTCATGCGTTTCATACAAATTCCATTGTGTTCCCACTCTTCTTACTTTCTTGATCTTCCCCCATCTTCTGCTGCCAGACATTACGTTGACACTCACGTCATATACTACTTATAAGTAGCTCGCACCACAGAAGCATTAGCAGTAATCGGAGAGATTAGGGTTCGAAGATATTATTCAGGAAGTAGAATCTAGTGAAAGAAACTTTATAAGAAAAAGATAAAGGTGATGAGGAACTCTGAAGGTTAGGATTTGAGAGAACACATAGAATGGATGCATCTGCGCCATTGCAAAAGGTTTTGAGCCATGTCATTCCGGGTCTAACTGACTACACTATACTTGATATTTCTACTGTAAAAAAAACTTTCGATCTTTCATGACTTTCTGTCAACAAACCTTCAGTGACTACAGTGAATAAGACAACTTTTTAAGTGAAAATAATCATTCTTGTTTCATTTTAATCGTTTGTAAGATGCGAATTCGAAATGACAAACGACAGTGGAGTTTATCCCTCAGTCAAATCAAACACAACAATTATAAATTGATAAGAATTCCAGAAAATTACCTATGTCTAACTGAAACATCAAAGACCGTAAGTGAACCAACTTGAAAACAATGATGTCACAGACATTTTGTGAATATATATGTTATAACTCTAGTATTTTTCTATACACACACCAAATAACCCTAACAAGCCCTATTCTATTATCAGAGACTTCCATGTTACTCGAATTAAGAATATGCAATCCCCCTGACTAGAACGTGTCTTAGTCAGCATTCAGCAATCGATAATCAGTATTTTAGTACAAAGGGTAGGAAAAATCTCTGTGATACTTCAAATACCTGTCAAACTATATCTATCAGTCGTTTATCTAGATAAATTGTAGATTGCATTACTAGGTTGTTGTGAAGATTTTTTTAAGTTTTATTTGAAAGCATAAATCGATCAATGTTAGACCACCATTAGGAGAAACCTGGAAGCACTGGACAGCCGTTTCGTCCTGGTATGGGACTCCTCAATGGCAGTGCGCATCCACGACTCCTGCACCCCGCGGGATTCGAACCCGGGACCTTCGGTATTGTAGGCGAACGCCTAAACATCGGACCACTGAGCCGGTATCTAACGGCCGTCCAGTGCTTCCAGGTTTCTAATGGTGGTCTAACATTGATCGACTCATGGTTATAAATAAAACCTAAAAAACCTTCACAACAACCCCGTAATGCAAAATTACCTGTGCTCACTAGTGACTAGCTTCGTGAGGGATCTCCGAGTTCTAGTGGGAAGACGTGACCAGTGAAGTTCAACCTGTTCGGGTGTAGACAGTAACTACCGAAGACTGTGTCTGAGGTCGCGCAACAGCGTGAATTGATCAAGTTAGACATTAACACCGTTCGATACCGGCTCAATGGTCCGATGTTTAGGCGTTCGCCTACAATACTGAAGGTCCCGGGTTCGAATACTGCGAGAAGCAGGAGTCGTGGATGCGCACTGCTGAGGAGTCCCATACCAGGACGAAACGGCCGTCCAGTGCTTTCAAGTTTCTAATGGTGGTCTAACATTGATCGATCCATGGTTTCAAATAAAATTGTAGATTGATTCAAGTTAGACATTAATTAACACTGTTGAATGCTCGCTAGCTCAGTGGTCAAACAGTGAAGCGTCAGAGCGCGTGTATGTGTACACTTACAAAAACAATATCATACTCCTTCAATCTTATTCTTTTGAATTCTTTTTTATATGCCCTTCAGGAACACCACCAAATGCAAATTTAGAAATAGGATGTCTTACAGCCAAATCTCCATTGGAAATGTGGAAAAATGCTTATTGTAATAAATTTCCTCAAGTAAGATTTTTTTTCTTATTTCCTAATATTCATTATGACATGCATGTTCTATTATGAGGCTTATCAGCAAGCAGTGTGATCCAATATGAGAAAAAGACAACGTGAGAGACAGTTATCCGCTGCAGACAATGGATTAGGTCGCGCAATATCTTGGATTGATTAAAGGTTAGTAATAACACCATTGGGGATTACAGATCAGTAATCTAGAGGGTTAGGCAATCAATCGCCTACTGGATCTTAGGTCCTGGGTTCGATTCCCACGTGCTAGGCTCATGGATGCCCATTGCTAGTCAGTCCCCCCATACTATAGAAAGATTTAGTATTTCAACTATGAAAATAATATCATCTTCACAAATCCCTTTTGACTCACATCATCAAATTAGTAAATAACATTTTTCATCAGTTGAATTCAACCTAGAAACCGCTACTAGTCAGATTATTTAAATCTAATCGATATTTATAAGTTGATTGGTTTGATGAAACGCTTACAAATACTATAGTCTATCTTAAATCAATCAATCTTTTAAAGTGTATTCCTACACTAAGTCTACGTTGTAAATGATCCAATCTAAAATATATATGAATACTTGTGAGATTTCTTTGGCAAACATTTTTTTCAAAATGTTACTGTTGATTGAAAGACTAGTTAAAACTATCCGCATTGGTTATCGCCAACAAGTTCCATGAGTCTTGTTATACTACTCATAAACTACTTACTCTCCATAGTTGTTTACATTATGAAATAATGTGGACTAGACTACTATTGAAAATCAGGGAAATGACAGATGATTCTTTCGTTTTGCTGATATGATGTGATACTCTTCAAAATTATTCAACCATGATCGCGTTAAGAATCATATCCAGAATTTGTAAATCTTATCGAGCGTCCTTATTAAACTTGAGTTTATTTATTGAGTCAACCAACATACAATGTTATATACACGTTTAATTTCAATTCATTTGTGATATTCTTTCGACTATCATTCATTTCCATTGGATGATAATTGTCTCACGCTATACATAGTTGAATTTCAAATGGTCATAGTGTTAGGATATTCATCTAATATCCTAAGAGAATTATCGGTCAAATCCTATTGGTCGATTTCTGTTGGTCAAAATTATGGTCGTTGTCTCTTATTGGTCATCCAGACTGTCATTGTCATTTCAAATGTTACTTCCTATTGGTTGTCTTAACTATCAATGCCACAGCATTCGATGCTGTTTCCTATTCGACCAAAATGTATAAATACGCATTATCTGTAACATTTTATGACCACGACCAGGACCAGGGCTCGGTCACGGATCCCTAGTCTGGGATCCTGACTCTCTTCTGGATTCGGAACTCGTACTTTCTGGATGTTTGTAGAATACAAGTTCTACTTCATATCACATCTTCTTATTTTACTAAATATGGGGATTGGGATAGTCGGATTTGAGTAGCATGTCGTGTCACCGGATCCTCGCTCTCGTTTTCCGACTAGGTAAACTCGTAATAGTTCTAGTGTATATCAAGTTGACGTGTTTACGTGCAGGCGTAATACATAGCCTGTTATTGGAACTCTGCGAAGTAATAGCCGTCAAAGTTATACACACCAGTAAGTGAAGTAATTGGTGATTCACTTCATAGGATATTGGGTAAACAGTTAAATGTCATAGTGTAAGACACACTATGACTTTAGTCGTACTTTCGAACTACATGGTAATTTCTTAGTTTCATAACTAAAGCTTATACATAGTTTTTTTTCTAAAGGTACAGTTTTCTCTATCGCAGTAACATCAAATCCCTTCTATGGATCCTGTGAGATTTTTGTTATAAATATGCTACTACTTATGAGTAACTAAACTTTCAATGCAAAATTTCTTCATCACATCCCTTATTAGTCTGCATTCTTGTTTGTATCAATCGGTTGAACCAAATTATTTGATCCTGACAGTATTACAGAAACTTCTACCTTACCGAATAAGACACCTCACACCATCTACCCCATTTATTATTAACATACACTGAATTAGATTATTTCCATTTCATGAAATTCTACCGCCAACGTAATCAACTGTTTTTTGTTTTTAATTTTCTTCAACTTTAGAAATCTGAATTAACTTGTAACTTGACAAATCCAAGTAAAGATCCACAATACACTGAACCATTGGTTGATTCTGCATGTAAACTAAAAGATGAAGAATTAGACAGTAAACGACATCAAAATGAACGAAATATGTTAAATTTATTAGAGAAAATTACTTCAGAAGGATTAATTATTGTTTAAGATTTTTTTTTGTTCTACTGTACAGATTTTCTAATGTTGTTCAATTATATGTAAGAGAGTATGTGAATATGTGCGTGTGTAGTGATGGTGTAGTGAAGGATAAATCAGGTGAGGACAACCGAATTTTATTTAACGAAGATTACAGAGTTACTCAGTAAAATTGGAAAACCAATTCGTAAACCGTTAATTTGCAAAACATCAATCCATTGTCTGACATTTCACTCATTCATGCATTTCATACAAATTCCATTGTTTTCCCACTCTTCCTTTCTTGATCTTCCCCCATCTTCTGCTGCCAGACATTACGTTTACACTCACGTCATATACTACTTATAAGTAGCGCGCACCACACTCGTCCCCCCTTTTAATAAGCTGTCTTCGTAGTCTTTCTGATTGCCGTACCGTTGTCATCTTTGGTGCTTTTCGTGACTCATACAATTGATAATCTTGAAACCATCTCTGTAGTTGACTAGCATTTATGCGCTTCTGCTTGTCTTCTCTCCGGATCGTGTAAACCGCGCCGCGTCTCTCCGTGATAACGTACGGTCCTTCACACTTTGGGATCAGCAAAATCAATGGTAACTCTTTCTCCCAATCTCCTCCTTTAGATGCTAACCATTCCTTTAACGTCCGGCTGTTTCTCTCTGTAAGCGCGTTTATCCGGGGATGATACGGTGTAGTTCGTATCCTCTTGATGCCAAACTGCTTTAGACGGGCTTTAAAATCGTCACTTTCAAAACAGGGACCCTGATCAGTTAATATCACCTTCCGTATTCCGTGACACGCTACAATATGCCGGATTACCACTTCGGTCATTGTTCTTGCCCGCCGGTCTGGAATGGGTACGGCATCTATCCGACGTGTAGCGTTTACTAGTTCCCGCTGCTGGGACACGGCGGCAGGCACACTCGCGACAAATTGCGACGCCAACAACCGTGCCCCCAACTCCACATCTATACTCGGCAGCGCACGGTGCAGCAACATCTTGAGCTCCACAGCCAGCACCAGTGGGTCACAATCGACAGACCACCTCGTCAACCGGAACCTCTGAGGCGCCTCCTCCCTGTCCACTGGCCTGTCGAACTCCGTCATCAGCCGCCCCGTGACCGTCTCCCACGCCGTCTTCCCGGCGGCACCGTCCAAGCTGTCGTATACAGCTTTTGCCTCACCTCCCCGCAGCGTCCCCAGCACTACCAACTCCGCTCCGGGCCCCTTCACACCGACCAGGCCCACCACGGCCTCAAACTCCTCCAGGAAGCTCCGCAAATCTCCGTCCTCAAACTCCTTCGGCCACGTGAGCTCCTTCCTTCGTGCAGGCAGCGACACCAAATGTGGTGAAGGAGAACAAAGGTGAGGACAACCGAATTGTATAGTCCTGGTATAGGACTCATCAGCTCAGGATATACGAGCACAGTTTCGAAGACACCGTTGATCTAATACTAGTAACCTACGATATGCTCTACTCTTAGTGGTCATGTTTCACATCCCTATAGTGGGACGGAATGAAATGCTGCGCAGTGGACTCACCCTTTGGTTAGAAGATTGATATCTCACCTACGCCTTAAGGGACGCAAGTTTGCAAAGGCTAATCAAGCCTTGTGTATCTGTGCTGAGATTTCATCACTCGACAAATCCTCGGTACTGATGATATTTACGAGGTAACTGAAGCGGTTAACACACTCAACTACTTCACTCCTTATCATCAATTCAGGTGCCGACGCAAACTAATTCTGAAGCAAGATTTTGCATCTGGTAGTGAGAATCGTGTGCTGAACTTGCTTTTATTGTTGCTTAAGGTGTATTGTCAGTGTCTTCATTAAGCACAAAAATGTCATCACCATATTCTAAGTCAACAAGTGAATCTCCTGGTTAAAGTTTAACTCCAGAAAAGTCAGACGTAGATAGTCTTATCTCTAAAAGCATGTCTATGACAAGTTTAAATAAGAATGGAGAAAGTGGGCAACCCTGATTTACACTAATTGAAGTAAGCGTTTCCGATGGCACTTCATCATAAGCTCTAACTCAACTAGTAGCGTTTGAATAAAGAGTTTGCACACGGTTAATATAAGTTTTTGGTACAACTTTTAATGACAGACACTGCAATGTAGTCTTATGATCAACACAGTCAAACGCCGCCTCGAGGTTAAGGAATACAACTATCAACGGATGTCTGAATGAATTTTTATGTTCTAGGACCCCGCAAAGTGTGAATATCTGGTCTATACAGCCATGTCCAAGTCTGGACCCACCCTGATTTTCTCTAGTCTGATTTTCACGATCTCTGATTAGGCGTCGAAGTATTATTGAAGCTAATATCTTAGACACAATATTAGTCAAACTGATTCCTTGGTGATTGTCACAAGAAGACTTTTGTCATTTCTTATAGACTGGGATAATCAGTGATTGAGACCAGTCAGATGGTATTACATACAGTTTCCAGATTCTACGTATGACCTCAGCCAATCTCATTGCTGAAACTGGACCATCTTCGTCGAAAATCTCAGGGGTCAACCCATCAGATTCTGCTGCCCTCCCAAGCTTGAGACTACCCATAACCTTTTCAACCTCATTCAGTGTCGGGGGACTTGCATTAACTTGCTATTTAAATTGACTCGAGACGGTGGGTACATGAAGTGCGGTTAAAGACCAGTTGAACAGCCCCTTAAAATGTTCTGCCCATAGATTCGATCTCCTGGATTGAGAATGAATAATAATCTCATCATTTTCTCTAACTGTCAGAGTTCTAATACCAGATTCCTTGATAAGTCTGATCAGTCGTCTACTGTTACTTATCGCCACTGCTTTTTCCATCTATTTTGCTTTCACTATCCACCACTATTCATGATCATTACGTAGGCTTTTTATCAGCCTGTGCGTAAGCTGACTTCTCTCCTCATTATGTTTGCAACCTGACAGAATGAGTTTCCGAAAATTTATCAGTTCAGTAGATGCTACTGAAATCCACTGCTTCTCCCCAACCCTTTTGTTTGATTTGCAGGCAGATATCACTGCTGTCTCCACAGCTTTTTAGATATCATTCCAAGCCACCTTGGAGAGAGCATAATTTACATAGCTGTCCAACAATTTTTCTAGTTGCCCTCTAAATATACTCTTGGCTTTACGATCGTTAAATAGAACTCAAAGGGGTTTCTTTGCTTACTTACCTACAGTAAACTGCAGACAAATGCGTGCTCATACTAAAGCATGTTGTGAATCTGAATGAGCTTCAGCTTTCCATCGAACTTCTTCATCAGTGCTTGACAGAAATGTGGTCTAGTTGGGTCCATCATTGAGATGATTCTGGATTAACAATTTCAAGAGATGTTATTCCTTATGCCTAAAGTTGGTAATTGTCACAAACATGCAGTTAGCTTAGCATAGCTGCAGCAGTTGTTATTATCTGTTTGCTGACCAGCAACACCGTTAGATCTACCCAGATGCCTTTCGGGTTTGTTTAGTCTTCCTACTTGGGCATTAAAATCACCAACTATTATTACTACATCAGAGCGCTAATCTTTTTGAAGGAATTCCGATAGATTTTTTTACAATTCACATTTTAACTCGTCCGGACTACAGTTAGTGGGAGCGTAGACAGAGATGAAGAAGAGGAAACGGCGATTGTCTCTATCTTTCCGAATTCTTACTGTCCCTTTTAGCTGGACAGAGCACAAGCGTCTAAAAGAGCTAGTTCTACTTTTGAACTCAATTCTATACCTGCATCAGCGAGACTACGGGAAGTCGCAACAGGGTCTCTAGATACATGAAGGGTAAATCACATTGGTTCGTTATGCTGACGAGGCGAGGTCAAATGATTGACTCTACTAAGATCCTGTATGCACGTTTTGGAGACTTGGAGTATATCAATAGCACGAGATGCCATAGTCCTAGAGAAGGAAGCCTGTTTTCCTATTCGGCACAAAGTTCGAACATCAAAAGCTCTGAAATGTTGTTTAGAGTGGGTTTTCAGGAGACCGGGAATAATATTTTGCGTCCTCATATCATTGGCCTTAGATCTACAAGATGATAAGCCACTATGAGAAGAATTAGTCGTGGATACAAGAGAGTTATTAAGAGATGGAGGGAGGATTTTATTGCGACCAAGTTGACCTTGTGTGCTTTTCGGGGTATAGTAGCGAATATCTCTTCCTGGTCGCCTACACAATCAGAGGGTATTTCTTGGAGGACCTGACAAGGAAGTTGAGTTGGTCTTAGCGGCCTAGGAGCGTGACCACAGAGCCCGACGGACAATTGCTTGGAGCTGATCGCCGACGGCCTTTTAATAGAAAGTTTGCATGTTAGCTCCGCTCTTCAAGTGGCCATAATGCTAGAGACAGAAATCCTTGGGGTAAGGTGATTTGTGATACTTTTAGGGTCGACCTTTTCTAATCCTTCCCTTCTTCGTGAGAAGTCAAAATCGCTGCAGACGCTGGTTGTCCGACGAAAACACATTACCGCTGTCATACCCCTCTACAGTCAACAGTTTGATTTCCCCCTGGTATAACCTACAGGAACATATGTTCCAGCCAATAAAGTTCAGTTGGGTTATCACAATAGGCAACCCCTACCACCAACACGAGGTAGTAGCTACGGTCGGGGGATTTTCTGGGAGACTACGATAGAATAGAAATTTATAAATCTCAAATTTCGGTGTGTAAAAGCGTCAACTACGCTTTAGAGAGCATCACTAGAAAAAACATGAGATCTTTGTATAAACCAATAATTATCAAGTCACAGTATGGATTATGAAGTCGAAAACAATACATACATACAGATTTATTTAATCACTTAATTACGCCTGTTACCCCCAATCGAGCATAGGCCGATGATCAGTATTCTCCAGCCTACTCTTTCCTGTACCTCCCTTTCCAGTTCTGTCCAATTTTCGTTCATTCTTCTCATATCTGTCTCCATTCCTCCAAGCAATATGTTTCTCGGCTCTCCTGTTTTCCTTTGGCCCTGAGAGTTCCAATAGAGGACTTGTCTTGTGACGTAGTTGGCTGCTTTCCGCAATGTATGTCCTATCCACTTCCAGCGGCT